GAGGAGCAGCAAGGCCTGATGGTAGAGGGTTTCTAGTCAAGTTAACTGAGGTGCTAACTAGCGTGTTAGAATCAGATACGATCTCTTCAGACTGGTCTCAACCACGGGTTGTCCCAGTCATCAAGAAAGTGGAGAAGTCCTCCTGTGGTAACCTGCTAAGAATCAGCCTGACAAATAATGTCTACCATTCTAAGTTGTTATCATTTGACTTCGGGGTAGTTTTAGGAACAGCTAACCCAAGAAAGCCAGGCAGGTTTCAGACCCGGCCGTGAGCATGTGTCGACTGGACATTCACACTGCCAGGTTCTGGAACGCAGACACGCCTACTTACGTCCAGTTCTAGCTAGAGATGGTGTTCCCCTCCGCCTATCGAGTGGTCTTATGGGAGTGACTCTAACTGAAAAAGGTGCTAGGGAAGTACATCACTTAACTGAAGGGCCTTTACTCAAACACCAGTGGGGTTGTTGCGGCCTATGCTGAGCCCCTGCCTAACGGTCCTCCGGTGGTATGGGTTTTCTCTACCTAACGTTAGAAGGACCAAACCTAAATGCGACACCACAAAGGGTCGTGTGTGACAGGCCTCAAGCAGATGTCTCATGGGCTCTGCGGTCACAAGTCCTTTTCTCTTTCAGGTATCTCTGGAAGAAATAGCCTTTCACAGTGTGAGGAAGGAAGTGTCAACCGCCCGCACGCTTCCAGTAATGTAAAAGGTCCAAGCAAACAATCTGTTCTACTCAATCCTGTCTCTTCTGTAGCCTTCACCTCCTGAAACCATTATTACGCCTCTTACACCTCCCCCAATCTCATTCTGCAACCATTGCGGAGGATCAAAGGTATCGAGAATGCATTCCTAGTCTTTTAAGCCCCTTCCATCGATCTCATGTAACAGCTTACAAAGTCCAAACTCTATGCCAAATGGGACACTAAAGCATCGCTCGCCAAAACTCTCCAATCTAGCCATGGATGTATGCTGTCTCTCTAAGATATGTATATAGATAGGACCCGAGTATGGTTATTAAACTGACCTCACCTGACCAGTGCGTTGAATCTTCAAAATTCACCCTGAGAGTATCCGAAAACTCAATGGCTAGCTCTCGTAGACCCGTTGGTGTAGGCATAGCATAAAGTAGCGGAGCAGAAAGTGTGCTTCTCGACTGGATACCAACCAACAGCTATTCATATGCTGTTCGACTGAACAGATCTGTTGGGACTAGGGAGGATCATAAGACCTACCGATGCTTATTTGTAGTCATCACCGACTGTAGTTCGGATGATGCAAAGGATGAATTCTACGAGCTGTCAATTTTGCTACAGAAGGCAAAACGATCAAATGTAGTCACAATGGCAGGTGGTTTTAACGCTCAAGTAGGGAACCTGAGCCAATCGAAAAGGCGTCCTAGAGGTAGGTAGAGAGTCCCATGCCAACGAATCGCTAAAAGTGATCGTCTATCTCAATTGTCTTAAGACAATTATTTGTTTCTGGCTAGCACCAACTTTAAGCATAAAGAGAGACTGTTTCACATGGTGCCCGATAACTTCAAACCAACCATAGGCAAAGATAAATCGCATTGCTAAAAGCCATCGTTGGAGGTTTGACGTACTTTCTGGAATATGTGTTTGGACTCCGATCAGGTGTTAGCAGGGGCACGTGTATGCTTGCACCTTACCTGTCGCAGAAACAGGCACCAGCAAAGCCTGTATGTGCTCAATTGGAAGATAAGGACGCCAAGTACGCATTCAGAGAGGAGTTAGCTAAGCATTTAACTGGACGTGACAGCGATCCTCATCCTGGAGAAACTAGTCGTGGCGTGATATTAAGTCTATTGTAGAAACAGTGGTAGACAGTTGCTAACCTACACCCGAAGATGAGAAAACGTCATTGGATTTCCACGTCGCCTGAACTGATTGATGCGAAAAGATTGATTTCATCTGGCTCTGACTGCAATGAAGAGCGAGGGCAACGTAAACGTAAACTGACTAGAAGTCTTCGTGTCGATCACAAACAGTGGTGGGTGACGAAAACGAGAAATGGAGAAGGCACCAGCGTTGGGTAACACCCATCAACTATTTGGGCTTATAAAGGATACCGGCAAGAAGAAGACGATGGTTAGTGAAATTATCACCGAACCAGATGGCACTCTGATAACCTCGCAGAATAGACGGTTAGAACGTTGGGTGGAACACCTTGAAGCACACTTCCACTGGTCCGAAGCAACTTTTCAGGTGTCTAGCATTCAGTCTGAACCTGAATGAGACGTAGATGTCGACACTCCAACTCTCCTTGAAGTTGAGAAGGCTGTTTTAGTCATGAAATGATGGAAAGTGGAAGGATTTGACGATTTTTCAAAAGAAAATTTTAAGAACGAAGGAAGGGAATCACTAGGTATAGTAATGGAGACACTACTAGGGTATTGGAATCAGAAGTAGTCCCGTCAGACTGATCGTTCCAGTATATAAGTTGGGAGAGAAGTTTTATTGAGACAACAACAAGGGAATGAGTTTGACTAACAGTGTGTACAATATCCTCGAGTTTATATTTAATCCGACACCTATTTGTAGTACAGAACATCAAAGTTGACAAAAACAGGTAGGTTTTAGACCTGTACAAGAGTGCAAAGATCAGATTTTTACCTTCCCACCAGACTTACATACAATTGCCATATTTCTTGACCTGAAGGCGGGATTTGACTCCGTTAACCTTGAGGTTTTTTGGCAGTATCTGATTGTGAAAGGAGTATTGCTAATCAATGCTGTACTCTAACTCGAGCAGCTATGTCACGTGAATTGACGAAAACTAGTGGTGTCCACCATCGATGCTCGGTGTCACCATCCCTGTACAACTTCGTTATAGATGTACTAATGAAATAACCTCAGGTGCGCCCGACTTCATAGGGATAGGTAGTGAAGTGGGGTAATGTGTCGACCACTTCACTTACTTGGGAAGTTGCATCAGCCCGTTGAACGGGTTAGTTGCTGATGAAATCTCAACTTGGATAAAGAAGACCCGTTTAGCATTTGCCAACTTGTATCATCTGTGGTGGTGACTAATAAGATATCCAACTACCTATTAAAAGACAAATATACTGCACTGAAGTTCATTCTGTCCTGTGAGACCGCTGTTGGAAGTAGAAGATATGAAGAGACTACAATTTTCATCTTAACATGGCTTGCGTTCAGTGGAATCACCATGTTGGCAGTGTAGACGTTAGAGGAAAAGAACTAGGATATGAGACTTCAGTGTTTGAGATCCCTTGGAAATGTACTGCACATGCCGAGTTACCGCCTAACCAGATGTGCAATGCAAGCAGATGATGGATTAAGTTAGCGAAGGATTCAGGGTGGCCAGACCAAGACGTGGCATTATTGCAAGAAGTGTCTGACTGGTGGACTGACCCATGTTCGATGGCATCCCCAAGACGATAAGAATTAGTGGTTAGGAACTCTTGGTAACATAATGGGGGTTGGCCATAATGGCGCAGATGTATTCACTCTTTGACAACTTCCAAAGCTTCAATTTCCTCATTGATTTTCCATTCATTTAATATTCCCTCTCTTTCCGCATACCTTTGTCTACTTTGATATGATTCTTTTTCGATTGACTTGTTCTTTTCATGCTGCTGTGAAGATTGGTGACTTGAACCGAAGCACTTGCGTGTGGGGTTTCATGTTGATTTTGTCTGTCTGGACAATGTGGTCGTTCTCTTCACTATTGCTTTACATGGACACTAGTTGGTTATTAAAGGTCACACTTCGTCGCCCACATCTATGGATGTGAATTAAGTTTTGAGAAATGTAGATATCTTAGACATAGGGGACAAATAATTCCATAGAATTTCTAGAAGCTCAGCATTCAGGTCAATCAACAACTAATGGATGTACAGGCACAGATCAAACGTATCAACCAATGAGAAAAACAACCAACAACTCTAAGGTCAGATAAACGGCAAAGTTTGTGCAGCTAATGAAGCAGCAATCAAAGAAAATTACCAACTAACCAACGCTTTGTCAGGGTAAGCTACTGAGTCATTCACGGACGAATCCTGATAGCTCACTTCATATTTAAGTTAGAGCTGATGTTTTGAAGATAGATAGTGACCTTTGTTGGTCGTCTCATATTTTGTCAGTTCGTAAAAAAATCTTTCGTTTAACTTATTACATAAAGAAACTGAGGCTCTCTGGTACAACTCAACCTCTTCTTTTACAATTTATTAATTCCTGCATTTTACCTACTCTTCTCTATTATTCCCTGTTGATCTTTGCTGATCTACTAAACAGGACTGTGTTGTGCTGCGTAAGGCCTTGAAAGCCGTCAGAAGGGTAAGTGCTGGGGCTCTGGGCCAACTAATTAACATTGTAGTTGACAGACATTTTAATTCTAGTAAACTACTAGCTACAGAAATTCTAACTGACAGTGAGCATCCACTTCATTCACAGCTCACTCCGTGTAGGACAACGAGAAACTACATAAGACTGTATGCTCGTTCAGCTAAGTATAAGAATTCGACTGTACCTTGCCTAGCACGCATATTTTGTGAGGTAACAAGTGTTAGAACAGAAATCACACATCAACTTTGTAACAGCTAAAAATCCCATTTTAATAATTCAACTAACAATGCAAAATTTTCTCGTTTTTAATATACTTGACATTACTTAAATTTTTATAATAAAACGATTCAAAATGTTGTAAAGGAGTATGTATGCAAATTTGCTGAGATCATAAGCCACTTTTAAGCAGCACGAAGTGCTAAAGCAATCATATCTGATGGGCTAACTTGTGTTAAGGATACTAATATCTCAATCAGATAATTGGCTAATCATAATAAGACCGGTGTAGCTTTTTTAGTTAGCCAATTACAAGTATAAACCAGATTTTAAGCACCCTTATTCAGTATCACATTGATATCCCTCAAATAACAAAACTTATTTGTGAAAAAAGGAGTTTCGTTTTAAGAAACTAATGTTTACTGCGATAATAAAAACCTTTTAAATATTCTAAATATATGATACGAACTCTTTTTCAGAAGATCATTTTCAGAATGCAAACTTCATCCGCCTTACCGCATGATTGGAAAACTTTAATACGAGTAAAGTCATTTTACTAAGTGAAGTTAACGATACTAGACTTTAAATGCACTTGAAACGCTTATTGCAGTGTGTTTGCCATATCAAGGAAAACTATATCCAATGCAAGAACTACTGAGTGAAAATTCGACACGAGCATAATAGGAGACATAAATTCTTGGCTGATTCATGTAATTGATACAGAAAAGACAGAAAAGCAACAGAGATTTGTAGTTCGACGTGGAGTTGATTCTACTTTAGATCAATGTAAGTAAAACCCTTTTTTATTGAGTCAAAGTAAATTTGGCAAACTAATGCTACTGTCATCCATATTTTATCGAAAATAAGAAATATAGCAGAATACGATAAAAACTGCATAAGTCAGTCATCAATCAATGCATAGCTCTCAAAATGATGCGATTGTGACAATTAACTCTACTAAAATACAAATCTGCTTGATGAAGCAATACATGCAATTATACAGAATAGAGCACAAGCTAACTCAGCTGGAAATTTAATTTTTACATTGATCTTAACTTCGTTGACAGTTTTTCACATAACCATATTTCATACACACCGACTACTTCTGGATATCATTAGCCATGCGAAGTTAGAAGCATAAATTTCCCAAGTTAGTAAAAAAGATATTTTTATTAGTATAACAAATTCTAAAACATCTCTATTTACTATTATCAGAAAAGAGAAATGACTTGTAACTTGGCTTGTATCCGTCTTTCTGCTGATAGCACTGAAAAAGATGAATAACTGGTAAGATGAATGGGAAAAAACTGATTACAGGTCAACGGAGAAGGTTGGGAACGAAACATATTTCCCAAAGGTGTGTAGTGTTGGCTTTGAATCTAGACTACATGGATTATGATTTTGAAGCACTAACCTATGAATACAAAAGGACTTCAATAACTACCACCACATAACTGAAAAATGTAGTTGTTCTGAAGATTATAGTGACCGCTATAATGACGCATTTCGTTTTATATCCAGGGGGTGAAATGTATACGTGCTTACCCGACGTGTTGTCACAGCTAGCCGAAGACGAACTGGCAAACTTACGTGGAAATGTACAAACATGTGGACTAATTTATTTTCCTTTGGTAAGCTAAACGTAATATTATGGATGAATAACGTATGAGGATATTTGATAGTAACAAAACATGTCTTCTTTGATTCACTCAGGTTGGATATTTATTAAAAATTCCAAAAGCTGAAGTGGAAACACCGGATATACAACTAAGTGGATTGGAATTTGCAGTAAGTTACGCTGTTACTGCTGGCTATACTGCTATAGCAAATATCTTGCTTACATTTAATATAATATTACCACATAGCATACGCAGAGCAAATGTGGAATGTTATGATAGTTTTCAGTTGTTTGCGTAAGTCTTTACGAATAAAAACTCACTATCGCCTGTGGCAGTTAAAGATGTCTCACCTTACATGTTATGCAGTTGTTTGGTACCGTCTCAGTAGTTTAGCACGTTTTTTCCCCTTGAACACCGTGCTAACCCTATGTTACAACTGCGGTCTTATCAGAAGAAATATTTTTTCAAAGGAAATAGTAATAATTTCCAATTTGAAGTCATGGACAGGTTTCAAGTATTATAACGAATTGAAAAAAAGCAAAATGGTAAATAAACAAGAGACCAACTACACTTTTTGACTGGTAGAGAAAAGTTTGTGTACAGTATAACGACTTAGTATTCACACTTTTCTAATCTCAGTTTACAGATGGCGAAATGGCATACTATCGGAACAACACTACACGTGGTAGGTGACGTCTGTTGATTTGGTTTATATTAAAAATTACTTTCAGCACTTGATGAACGGTATGGAGACGTAATGTATGCTATTATTGGTAAGTATATATAGTCGGCAACATTTTACAAGCTCTAAGTTTTTCCTCTAAGGAATATAAATCTGACAAGTTGGTTTTGAGTTGTTGCCTATGTATATATATATATATATATATATATATATATATATATATATATATATATATATATATATATATATATATATATATATATATATATATATATAGTGATATCCCGACCTCATGTTTAAGCCAATGGATTATCCACTGTCCAAGATAAAAGTAGAATGTACACGAAAATAATTTGGATAATAATAACGAAATACGTCAACGAGAAAGAAAGGAATTCTCAAGGTCTAAGCGAAATTGATGAATAGGTAATGAACTGGTCATACAATGCATACCATCTGTCAAATACTCATTATTATCAACATAGGACACGGCATTACTATATAACGGAGATGGTTGTTACATGTGCACCACTACTATCGATTTCAAGGCATTTCACACCTACATCTAATACTTCTCGAAGAAGCAATCAAAGACCTCATGGATTGCTGTCCTGTCTTCGTTTAACAACGCTGTCCTTTTGACATCTAGTTATACTTAAGCTAACATTACGCGTCACAAGCATTATTTGGTGGGTGGATACTTAACACAGGGACAACGGTGGTCGAATATTTAAACCCTTTTCCTGTTTTGCACGTTTTCGTTGTGAAAATTCGTTTTTTTTTTTTACAGTAATTCATACTTCTTACCGGTAAGACACGCCTGTACCTTAAATAACCTTATTTTTCAGGAAATATTCACATATAATTTTTTAATCACCAACTCATCAGGAACAATGCAAATTTCCTGTTAGGTAGTGCACGTGCTCGATCACTTCACTCCTGACTGCTAGGTGACATCGCAGCAAACATATACCTATTTTATGAGGACTGGTGATACCAGCAAGGATCTTTCAACTTGTTTATAAAGCTGCATTAAGCTCAACAAAATGTTGGTAGGATAATGAGATTTATATATTTTGCTAGCAGTGCTACTATTATTGAACTCTCTGGCAAAGGTCACATGTCAACTTACCACTGATACAGACAGCAACACTGACACAAAACTACAGGTTGTAAACCATAGATGTGCATACGTTTTTGCTGATCTAGCAATGCTAAAAGTATACAATAAGGAATCTACACTGAGGCGGAGTGGTGCGTTGCACGCTTAGATAGCTCCAAACCCTGCGAGATAACTTATGCAGTGAGGCTGGGATATTTAAAGGCGGAACGGTCGAGACTTGGCACCAGACAGTGAACTGACCTTCTAGTGACCTGTGCCGTGTGATGAATTGTAGGGCAACTGGATAGTATGTTGGTAATTAGTAACTATACACCTATAGGACAACCCTCGAAATTAGTCATAGTGGCCTTATTTGCTTGGTAACAGTCTTCTTTAAAATTTGTTGCCTATTTACTTTTGTAAATGTTCATCCGGGAATCTTATTCCACTTTTAATATCCGCCGGTTAGACTCTAAGGAGTCAAAATTGCGCAAATTATAAACACAACACAGAGCCAAGGGAACTTCAAGACAATGGTACAGCAAACTTTTGCATAAAATGCCCTTCAATATGGGATGAGTCACACTTCAAGTGCTATATTTTGCTTGACAAATATATAATCTCCGACACAAAGAAATATATTGTTTACTAGGTTGCGCCATACTTAGTTCCCGAGGGTTCAGTTCAACCTTACAATAGATTTCTAGTAATTCTTCAATTTACTGTTTGAGATCTCAATTATTTCTGATGATCAAATTTTCAGATGCAGAAACTATAATTATGCACCGCCTGCAGGATCGCTTGCTAATTCACGCACAAAGCATACTTCGAGCATCTCAGTTTGCCGCAGAAATAGACTGGTAGTTTGAGTTCCAGATTTTTACGCATTTTCTTTACTTGCCTATAAACTCCTAACATAACCTGGTTACAAAGAAACTAGACAAAGCATTTAGAATCAGGTGTCTTTTCACTCACTAGGAACGTTGGGCTTGAGCACATAACTACCTACAGGTTGATGGGAATTGGGTGAATTATGTAGAATAACTATGATCCTCCAAAGCTGTTTTATTGCATTATGCTTGCATACCAATTAAACTTTCAGAGCACTACAAACGAAACAAATTATTATAACCTTATTTTAATACATACTTTCTCATAACTCTACGCCTATTTGAGGTAAATCTATGGCCAATGCTGTAGTATGAAGGTTAATGGCACTTTTTAGCCGTTCAAAAGACAACAAGTGAAGCATCGTCGAAAACGAAATTTGATACAATCTCAAATGACAGACGATCACTCGGTTTCGATACAGTAAGAATTTGCAAATCACAAAAGGGAGCACCACTTAGTTGCACTGAAGTGCAAGTGAATTTATTACTGCACTACATACTATACACGTTGGGATATCCATTATGCAATCATATGTGAATCAACAGAACATTGTAGATATCAAGATACTTTATTATATGAGCAAAACCTGAGCGCTGTGGTAGATCCTAACTATATTACAATTTGTTTACCAGACTCACCATACAGTAGAAATGTATTACTATGGTTAATTATTTACTAGGTATGGTTTCAAACTCAATGAATTGTCTGAATTCATATACATTGATAACTATGAACTACTAATTCGTTTCAAAACGTTATCCAATAAGTGGTACTTTTTCACGGTGGTACAACGGACAAATAAACTAGGTAAACCAAGAAATTTTCCTATAACGGATGTGAAACTCACAACTTTTCGTCTGCAGCGGTGAATGCAGTCACCTTTCGAACCCAATGGTAATAATTAAGCTCGTCCTGTAGGATAACACATATGAAAATTCTTGGCTTAAAATCCCACCTTTTGAATGCTATAATCTGATGCATTCATCAATGACAATTTATGAAGAACTCCTGTTTTGAAAACTTCCCCTTTGTACACTCTTCATACGAAGACAAATTTCCACTAAGTGCGAACCCAAGGTTGTATTACTACCTCGTTAAGTACACTTTATCAACAGGCATGTAACCTATCTTGCTGAAGAGAATTTCAAGATTAGGTAGATACCGCATATTTAACCTAAACTATTACACAGCAGTAACGTGTGTAACCTAATGGTGTTCAATCTGCAGGCTAAAGATAGCTCAAAATTTAGACACAAAATTAAGGGTGACAATTTCACTAAGTGGCCAGTTGTCAATTGATGAAGCAGCACAGAATGGATATATCGAGTCAAATAGCCAGGATAGGGTGTACACAACGGGGTATCAAGACGAATAAAGGCGGCACAACTGCTTCTTGTTCATGTTTTTGTTACTCACGTGCATAAAAAAGCTCCTGGTGGGAACAGTTCAACACACTAAAATGCTACTTGACTGTGGTCATAAGTAAGATGCTAAATGTCATATCTGTATTTATTTGTTTCAGCCTATGCTCGTTCGCTATAACGGCCAAGTTTATGGACTGGACAAGACCAAGGTTAACAGACAATCAATGTATATACATCTATAATGGCCGACACCCTATACAGCAAACACAATGTCCAAACATTATAAAAAATTCTTTCTACGCAAATGCCTCGAGGAACAGGATTACTATGCTTACTGGACCGAATGGCAGTGGAAAAAGCATTTACATGAAACAGGTAAGAAAAGTTAAGACTTGTGTGAATTAACAGCAGGGTTTCACAGTTTCAGTCAGTCACATTCATCAACGATAACTCGGATATTGACAATGCTTGTAAAGCTATAGAAATCGTATTTACCAAATAAGATAAGCACTCTTATCACAAAATACTCACTAAGTTTGCATTGAAACGTGACTTGACATTACTACGTGATAGTTCGAGTTGTGTACTTCCTATTAGCCCACCAAAGGAAAAACAAAAGAAGATGAAAGACGAGAAAATAAGGAAAACGTAGTGGTAGGAGGTCATAAACAAAAAAATATGAAGGACTGGAACAATAATAAAATACGATATGACGATCGAGAGGAGGATGATGTTTGAATAAGTTTTGCACCACTGAGATCAATTTTCAACCATATCACGTAGTCTCCAACCATCTGTTTAAGCTATCACACGGACGTCAACCGTGTAGTTTGCATTATTTTACTCAACTCAGACAAACAGTCGAAAAATTCATAGAATAATTTCATGTTTGGGTCTGGCCCTCTGAAAGTTTTCTAGTCTCGATCTACTTTATCTAACATTGTATTACATGGCAGACGGTGACTGGGCATATGTAACACATGATCCAGAGATAAGAGTCGATGAGGATCTATAACCTCGTTAACCGACTTTCCTCTCTTAGCCAAGACATTACACCTAATTTCCCCGTTGCCGACGTGATGACATATGACCTATGCTACAAAGACATCGACTGTCAGGCGTTTGAAGCCTTCTAATATTCTCTACCTTTAATGGCCATCTTTTACAGCCACATGATATGACAGAGTGAACCGCGGAGCAGTACACTTGACGTTCAACAGACGATTCGATATCATGGTGTCGGGTCTCTTCCTTCCAAACAGACATTTTGTCAATTACTAACCCACATAATCACTCAACTTCTTACTGCTAAAAAGCGCCCCAAGAGAAGCAAGTCCTGCAGTAAACATTAGATGACGGGCAGTGAGAAACATCCTAAGTGTTTTCAACTTGCCATACAAATTATCCAAAAGATTGCATTTCGCCATTGCCCTAACGTACACGCTTGACATCTGTATATCCTGCGTGTGACAACGACGAGTTATACTGCGCTGTAATTAGCACTGTCCTGTTATAAAGCTGTCACAGTAATAATGAAGCGACTACAGAGCATTGACCACGGATGTCTTCTTAGCATTTTCCGGATTGGTGGAATCACCGTGTGGGCAATGTTGAAGTCAGAAGAAGGATACTAGGAAAGACAGGCAAGTCAATTGGTGAGATTGTTAACCTTCATTCACTGAGATGACTTGGGCATTTGTTGCACATGCTGAGTCACCGTCCACCTCGATGCGCTATGCTAGGGGGAAGCTGTATTAGGTTGGAAGAGAGTTCAGGGTAGCCAGATAACGACCCGGCACCTGTTCGTGAAGTCCATGAGGGTTGGTCTGAGCAGTGGAGAAAGATGTGGACTACCTTGTTGGGGTCACTGAGGCCACAGGAATCCGTAGTTGAGAACTCTTGGTGAAATAGCTGAAAATTGGTCGCAGTGGCGCAGTTGTATTCACTCTCTGGCGCCTCCTAAAGCATGAATATTTGCACGAAGTTTTATCTTCAAATTGCTTGTCCTCTCACATAACTTTTTCAACTTTATACGACTCTTTTTATCCCCCTGTTTTCGTAAACTACTGTGAAGTGTGGCAACTTGAACCGATGCACTTCACCGATTGTCTGTCTGTGACAAGGTCATCTGTAAAAACATCCAAAGAGGAACACCTTCACAAGCATCTATGACAAGATTAAACAACAATCCAGACAGTGGATGTACTAGAATGAAACGGAGAAAAACGTCAGCGTTAAACTTAACAACTTCACTGGTTCAAGTCACCTCAATAATATAAGCATGAAAAGAACAAGTCAATCGAAAAAGAATAATATCAAAGTAGACAAAAGTGTGTGCGAATGTTAAGCGAATGAAATATTAATGAAGAAGTTGATGCTTTGCAAGTCGTCAAAGACGGAATACATCTGCACTAATATGGTCAACCCTACCCTGTTACCATGAGTCCCCAACTACTAACATTTATAGAAAATGGCTTAAACCATCAGTCACGGACTTCATGAACCGGTGCCGGGTC